CCCATGCAGGTCGACTCGATTGGCAAGGGCAAATGGGGGCCACAAAGTCAAAGGCAAGGGCAAGGCCAGCAAAGGCAAGTCCAAGGGCGACTCCAAGGGCAAGAAGAGCGACTCGAAGGACAAGGGCCGAGAGACCCGCAACAGCCATGACTGTGGGAAGGCGGGCCATCTCGCGGCGGACTGCCGCGAGAAGGCCGACGAGAAGAAGGTCAGGAAGGTCGCCTCGCTGGCGGGAGGCCCCAAAGGACAGTCTTCGGCGGCAGCTGCGGCTTCAGCGCCGCAGGACAGCGGAGCTGGCTCGCAGGCCAGTCTGGCCCCCCACCGTAGATGTTTCGCACGTGGCGTCGATGCTGGCGCAAATGCTGCAGCAGCAGCAGAGCTTGGCTTCTACGAGCTCAACCGTCTACATCGCGAACATCAGCGTGGCCAGCCGCGCCGACGCCCCAGAGCCCGAAGAGTACCGCTGGCAGGTCGGCGTGCTCTACGACAGAACGCAGTGCGACGCGCTGCCAGTGACGGTCGGCGACGCGGTGGAGTTCGACTGGGCGCTCTTCGACACGGGCTCAGGGTTCACCGCCTGCCCCCAGGCCTTCGCGGACACGACCGAGATGTTGCCACCCAACATACTGCCCTTTGCGAGTCGGCGACGGGCGACGAGGTCAGGCCCATGGGCGCGAGGATCGTCGCGGCCGAGAGCGACGGGGCACCTCTGCAGGTCGAGTTCCAGGTGACGAACGCGAAGTGCTCCGTCGTGGGCGCGGGCGCCTCCACCGAGGGCGGCCACATTCCGATCCTCGGCGGGGAGCTGTGCATCCTGCTGACGGGCGGCCGCGAGATCCGGCTGCACAGGGGCGGGAAGACGTTCTGGCTCAGAAGCAGGAGGCCTGCCGAGAACGCCACAGCGCCGATCATCGCCAACCCAATCCAGCCGAACACCGAAACGCACAGGCACGATCCGCACCTCACGAGGCACCTGCCGACGAAGAAGAGGCGGAACCTGGCGCATAACCCGCAGCACCAAAGCCGACGCCACCTCCACCGGCACCACCTGCTGCTGGGGGCGCCCAAGATCAGCCTGACCAAGAGGGAGATCAGCGTGAAGGAGCGCGACGGCAACGTGAGGACGGAGCGCAACTATGAGTCTCTGGAGAGGCAGCAGCGGCCAGGGCGAGAGAGATCCCAGTGATGCCAGACCGACCAATCCGAGATCAGCATCGTCTCAATCACTGGCTCTTCCGCACCTGGCGCCTATTATGCATCGCGGGCCGCGGCCGGGGGGGCCCGCGCGGGCGTTTGGCCGACTCTGGCCGCCTGGCCCCGCTTGCTTGCATCGACTACCTGTTCCTGGGGGGCGTCGAGGGCGACCCGCTCGTAGTGCTGGATATTCCGGAGTGCCAGTCGGGAGCGATCGAGAGCGCGCAGATGACAGCGATGGGGCCTGCAGACAACGCTGCGGCGGTGACGACAGCGGCGATGCGCATGCGGGGCCTCGACCGCGTTCTTCTCGGCGCCGATGGCGAGCCCGCCATCCAGGCGCAAGTCCGAGCCGCGCAGCTGGCTCGAGACGAGGGGGCCGTCCCCCACAGCGGGCCCATGCGAGACCCCAAGAGCAAGAGAGTTATCGAGAACGCCGACATGTTGGTCGAGGGCATGTCCCGCACTTTGAGGGCATCGACCGAGTCTCGGCACAGCACCAAACACACGCTGAACCGCTGGATCATAGGCTGGATGATTCGACACTCGGGCTGGATCGTGTCGCGGTACCCAGTCAAGGAGGATGGCCCCACCCCCTACCGGCACTTGAAGGGTCGCGCCGACGGAGGAGCTGCCTGTGAGTTCAGCGAGACGGTTATGCGCAATATCCATAACAGATCCCACCACAAGGCTGTGATCCGATTGGGCAAAGCCATCTGGGTCGGGAAGAACAACCGCACGGTCGAGCACCTCTTGGCGACCGCTGCTGGCTGGGAGACGGCGAGGGCCGTCAGTGGGCGCGTGGAGGATCAGCGCTGGTCCAAGAGCTTGTTCAACAAACACTCGCGCGCGGGGCCAGAGGCAGCACCGCCTCCACCGCGCCGTCGCTACATCACGTGGGCGATCACTGATCGAGTGGACCCTGCACCTGGCTGTGGCGGCTGCCGCGGACTCGGCCATCCACGCGCTGAAGCCTGCCGAGGGCGCATCGAGGGCTTGATGAAGGCCGAGGAGGAGAAGGAGGAACAAGAGGCAGCAGTTCGAGCGGCCACATCTGCAGCTGCAGCGGCATCCCCAGGAGGAGGGCAACATGCTCCACCAGATCCTGGCGCCGCATAACCTGGCCCGATACCACCTCCAGCCGTGGCACAGGGCCCACAACTTGCTACAGGGGCCGACCATGGAGGACGATCTCGCAGACGGCGGATGAAGGCGGACGCACCTTCGGACCCCATGCAGGAGGACGCCGTGGAGCTGCCGCAACAGGACGGCATGGAGCTCGGCATGATCGAGATGGATTTCAACGGCGCACTGACGGAGGCGAAGCGGGGGCCGAAGCAGAGAGTTACCGCGAGTCTGTTCGCGGACATGGCGGCTGCAGTTCTCGCGCTGACATGCGACGCCATCCCCCGCGCTGACGTGCCGGGCATCGTCGAGCCAGGCCTCTACGACCGCGAGGCGGGTTACCATAATATCTTCGGGGCGAGACCAGGGAAGGGGCTGGGCACCGCCTTGGTGAAGCGAGGCAGGGGGAAGGAGCGCAGGCAAATGGAGGAGTTTCAGGTCTTCGATAGAGCGCCCAAGAATCCGGCGAAAGGCAAGCTCGCCCGAGGGAAGTGGATCGACGACGAGCTCTTCGACGAGGACGGCAAGGGGCCGGTCAGATCCGCGTTCCGTGGCCATGCAGATCGCCCGGGGCGTGCGCGACGACGCCTTCGCAGGCGCTCCGCCACTGGCAGCATTCAGGGTGGTGGTCGCATTCGCTTCAAGCCTCTTGCTCGACGTGGGTCGGCTCGCGCTCTACGACGTGCCGGTGGCTTTCTTTCGCGCATGCATGGATCAGGACATCCACGTGGTCCAATTTCGCGAAGAGGAACCATCGTTTACCAGCTGAAGCGCGCTCTCTCGGCACGAGACGCGCATCTTTCCTGTTCCAGAACCTGATCATGGATGTCGTGGAGACGGGCGGACACACACGCATCAAGGTGGCAGTGCTGGTCTACTACCACAAGGAGAGGCTGCTTGTGGCGATCGTGCATGGGGGTGACGCCCTGGCTGGAGGAAGGGAAGGATCTCTGGACTGGCTCGACGAATTGGTAAGGGGACACTTCAAGGTCAACGTGATGCCGAGGGTGGGCAGAGCTAGACAAGGAGGAGTCGATTCAGGGAGTTTCCTCAAGCGGACGGTGACGTGGTGCTCCGAAGGGTTCGGTACCCAGCGCGACCGCAAGCACGTGGAGATCCTGGTTAGCACCAGGCTCAACAGGAAGGTTGGTGAGAGCATCTGCACGAAGCGGGCGATCACCCCCTCCTCCAAGACCGTTGGGGGCGACTCCAGGGAGTCATCGGACGAGCTCAGCACGGAGTTCACGACCACCTACCGCAGCAGGTACCCGACTCGGCATCTAGGAAGCCGTTGGATACCTCATGAAGGTGCCTGGTTGCACCCACCTGGCACCACTGGCTACTGCTATTACAGCGGCTGGCGGGCTACCTGGAGCAGCACCCGCAGTTCGAGCTCTTCTTCGGGTTCCAGAGGATGCCCAAGGTGATCGTGGCGGAAGTCGACAGCGACTGGGCGCCCGAGCCTGGTCGGAGATCCGTGGGCTGGGGATTCCGGCCCACCGGCTCGCACCTGATCGACGGCTTAAGCGGCCAACAGGGCAATCGCGCGCTGAGCAGCGCGGAGGCGGAGTTCACTGGAATCGTGAACGGCTCGGCGAGAGGCATCTGGTTGAGGAGCGTGATGCTGGAGATGGGGTTCGAGAAGGCCCTGCAGGTGAACGCGGGCAGCTCGGGGGCCAAGGGCATCGCATCGCGCTTGGGAAGCGGAAAAGCGCGCCACCTGGAGACGAGTATTTTTGGGCGCAGGAGAAAAACATGGAAAATAAGATCTCGACGGCTAAGGTTCACACGGACACGAACAGGGCCGACATGCAGACCAGGCCGCTCGAGGGACCGAGATTCCTGAAGTTGCTGGCGACGCTTTCACCCTGGGCGCCGTCCTCAGGCCGCGCGCAGGTGTTCGGAGCGATGTGGGCAGCGACAATACTTGGCGGAGTTCAAGAAATGGAGATGGTCCCAGCGAGCCAGGCGGCGATGGCGATGGGCAGCCTGACCGCGATGGAGCAGGTTTGGGCGACGGCCGTCACGGTGATGTTCGGATTGACGCTGGCAGTCGCGGCCCTGTCCGCGTGGATTGGCTACCGCGTGTACAAGGCTCCAAGCGGTTCCTGAAGGGTATCTGGGAGCTGGTGATTGATCACTCAGGTGGAGGCCCCACCTGGAGAGAAGCATGTGGCGATCGTGGAGAGCGGCATCAGCAGACACACGCAGACGACTCCGATCAAGCACTACTGGGCATGGAGTGCGACGGAGCTGCGCGAGGAGCGCCTGCGCTTGGGCATCTACCGAAGACAGCTCAAGTCGCACGTGATTGGGGACCTGCTGAACGGAGCAGGCCGCAGGTGAACCTTGCTTGAAGTGCAGCAGCACCGCTCTACATGCGCTCGACGCGCCGCGCTGGAGCGCGCGCCGTCTGTTTGGAAAGTGCCCCCGTCGCCCGTGGCTCGAGGGCGCGAGGAGACGAAGCCCAGCGTCGAGGCGCTGGCCCTCATGCGATGAGCTAGATGGGCCCGCGGGCACAGGTATCACATCTTATTTGTGCTAGAGTTTCTCAGGGCGGCTTCGGTTCAGCACGATGAGCCCTGGGCTAAGCCCACGGCCCAAGGAGGAGCGCAGCGCAGAACTACCCCCCCCCCCCCCCCCCCCCCCCCGCAATCCGCATGCCGCATGTTACGAGTGCGTTTCAAGGAAAGCGACCCGTTAGTTTTGATCGGTCGGGTTTCACGCGGGTTTATGTTTAATCGTTTGATGCATCCACAACCGTTTTGGCTCTAGCTCCCTTAGGTGAAAGATCTTCGAGGATGTAGGCCCTGCGGGGCCCGGTTCGATCTCGGAGCGCTCGTAGCGCGTTTCCGCGGGTTGGACATTGACAAACATGTTGTTCGTTGGTCGGTTTCCGATGCATGAAAAGGTTGGTCGTGACAGTAAGTTCGTCGTTCGCTTGTCGCTGGGAGATTGCTATGTCAACGTGGTCCCCCATGTGCTTGGTGAGTTGCCGATTTGCTTTGGATTATGGCCCCCGCCCCCTCCTCCCCCCACGGTCAGATGGACGGGGGGGGGCGACGCTGATGGGGGGGGTAGATGGAGGCGACGGTGGCGCACGCTGATGGGGGGGGCGAGGGAGAGGCTGCCAAGCGCGAACAGACATATGACGATCAATCGAGTGGCTGTCGGCCCATCCCGCCACCGTGCCCGGGTTGCGGGCCCGAGTTCTCGGGGGTGCGCCTCGGGGTCTCTTCGGGGCGCTCTTTGGGGGCCTCTTGGGGGCAGTGTCGGGGCCTCTTGGGGGCCTCTTGGGGGCTTCTTGGGGGCCTCTTGAGGGCCTCGCGGGCGCCTCTCGGGGCCTCTCGGGGCCTCCTGGGGCCCCCGTCGGGGCCGAACGCGCTCTGAGGCCGTCTTGGGGCGATCTGGCGGGTCTCTCGGGCCATCTTGAAGCGTCGGACAGCCGAGTGGGCGAGAACGCCAAGAGCAGTCAAAACCGCAGGAAAGACCATGATGCTTGCCTCTTGGGCGGTGGCGCCTCTTGGAAGCTTTTTGGAGCGTCTTGGGGGCCATCTGGGGCGTCTTGGAGCGATCGGCCGGCGACTCGGGGCACTCTGGGGCCGTCTTGGCGCGCCTCTTTAGCCATGGCCGCCTCGGGGCCTCAGCGCGAAAAGATGCGGGGGGGCCCGCGGGGCACGCTGGAGGCCCCGAGAGATTTGGGAATCGGCGCCCAGGCACGTAAGAAACCCCTCAGGAGCGAGGGCTGACTCAGGAGACTGGGCAAATGACATGAGAACGCGCCCACTCCGTGCCCAGGGGCACGGCGGCGGATCAGCATAGAGAGGAAGACGCCGAACACAGACTTATTCGTCGGACGGGGAACATTGAATATGACGTGGTTTGGTTTACCCCTGCTGTCGAAACCCAGTCGGGACGTCGCGCTCGTTGCTGTGTTTGCTTTGGGGCTGGGGCTATCACTACTTATTAGTATGAGTATGTTGTGTGCATTCCGGAGCCATCCTGTGTTGGTAGGGCATCATTTTGATTCGGCAGCGCCCCGCGTTCCCGCCGCGCTTCCTCCTCCTTCTCCTCGCCCCCCCCCCATCCCCCTCCTCCTATCTCAGCCGCCGCCGCGGCCAAGGCGCCCGCGAGCGGCCCGCCCCCAACCGCGATCATCGCAGATCCTTACTCGCGGGCCATGGGGCGCCACGACGGGAACGGGGCCGCTCGGGCGGCGACGAGAAACCCCGCTCCGCAGTCCGCTACCGTACTCCGTCATTCATTTGATTCGCGCGCGTCCATCAGAGTGTAAAGAAGATGATTCATTTATCACAATTTGCAATGGGCGGGTTTCACGCGCTTGGCGGAACAGTCGCAGCCGATGGCTAGCCGTGACATCAACGCGGCCATCGGCGCAGGGGGGGCGGCTCACGACTTCGACGCCGCCCAGTTCCAGCTGCCGAGCCACCAGTGCATCAATTTCGGATGGCGGAAGGCCGCGGGCGTCAACAACTCGCGCGGCATGGCGGTCATGGTGAGCCGGCGGCTTCGCAGCCAGTTGCAGCGCATTGCCTGTCCGCCCGCACAGAGAGGCATCGCAGGCCGAGCGGCGATGGCAGTCGTCGCGGCGGGGGCCATGAGCGCAGCGACCTTCCCGATCTACTTGCCGCCGAGAGGGTTCGCCGTCGCCGCACACAGGAGCACCGCCCGCAACGTCCTCGAATGGGCGCAGCAGGAGCTCGACCAGCTTGGACACAATTGCTTACCAATCGCGATGTGTGACTACAACTGCGCGTTCGGCATCCGCGCGGACGTTGCAGGGCGCAGGTTCATCGGGGAGACCGGCGCCGCTGGCATCGCGGAGCCTGCGCCCGAGAAAAGCACCCGCCAGATCGCGCGGAACATCTGGGAAGGCAACCACCCCGCGATGGCGTACGCATTCTAGCGAACGGGGCCCACGTCCTACGAGGGCGCGCGCCAGAGCAAGATAGATCACATTGCCTTGCCCGCCGCCGCGAAGGGCCGCATCCGACAACTTCATCCACTTCTAGGCCTGGCGCGGCAACTTCAGCTGCGCGCATCTACCCACCTACGCGACCATGCCCCAGCGCGCGTGGACATCGACGCCCGCATCAGCAAGGCGCACCATAACCAGCTCACACCAGCTGCCCACCGTGACCCGATGATGATGGCGCGCTCCAAGGGCTGCGTGAGATTTTGACTCCCTACAGCGATTGGAGGAGAAGACGCAGCGGACACCTGAACACGAATGGCGACAAGTCTGATAAGAAGGGAACGTTTAAACATGGCGGGACATATTGGCCAACGACATTCGAGAGGAGACGTTCCCAAAACAAGAGACGGCCATCGTGGACTACGAGAGCATGCGCAAACAGCGAGCCCCACTGCTAGCTGAGCGCTCGAACCTCCGAGCAGCGGCCCACCGCGCAGGCAGCGAAGCTGTCGATCGCAACGGGCCGCACCAAGTCCACGAGCTCGACGAGGTTCACGCAGTTATCGAGGCGCCCGCAGCGCATGCGGTGGCAACGACACACGGAGAATACAGAGAAATGAGTAAATCAGATCGACGAAGCTTGGCGACGGCACCGGTTTTCAGGACTACATCGGATCAGGGTGGCACTTGCCAACGCAGGCCTTGGGCCCACGAAGCGTTATCTATTCGCGCCGAGACGAAGCATGACAGTGCAACGGTGGACAGAGGGACTGGGTCGTCGACCACAGGAGGGCGGCATGCAGTGCGACAGGATCGACTGGTAGGACTGGATCAGCGACCGCGCCGTCTTGCCTCACGCGTTCGACAGAATGGACCTCCACGACCTCGTTCGACGCAACCGAGCTGGACAGGTTCGCTGCCTACGACGCGCTCCGAAACGTCGAGCGTGGCCAGCGCGGGATGCACTCACAGAGGCCTTGTGCATGTGCATCTTCCGCCGCCGGTACGTGAACGAGCACGATCGGAAATGCGTCCCCGAGCGCTTTAGCAGGCGGTGCGATGACCTGCTGGCTCTGATACGCCTGACAGGCTCAGCTCCGCTCAGTACCATACGTTTTCTTGCTTTTCCCCAGAGCAAAAACAACCAGAAGTTAGGGATCCAGGGCCAGAGGGCGCTTCGCTGATTTGACGCTTCCGGCATGTCCTACTTGGGACAGCTTTCCGCAGAACATCTCGAAGGCCCCCTCCACCTGATTCTCCCCGCGGCGGACTCCAGGGGCGACGACGAGATGGGTGCACTTTGAGTCTCGCAGCAGCAGCAGCAGGATGGATATGCAGGCGAGCGAACCTGAGCCACGCGATTAGCAACTACGACGCTACGAACGCCTTCGCATGCACGCACCGCGAAAGTCTTAAAGCCCATCACAAACTCACAGCTCGACGAGAAAACGTACATCTACTTCAGCAGGCAATCAAGCAAGCAACAGTTCATGCAGAAGCCCATGCCGGCGCCGCTGACTTTTGCGTAGCAGCGAAGACTGATAGGTTTCTAGTGGGGTCAAAAGAGAGCATCCTGATTCCCCAGGGGGGTCTGGGCAGGATCCGGCGGATGCTGGGGAAAACCGGGGACTCCCCATTTTGATTGCCAGGAGCAGCATTTTGACTGCCCGGAGCCAACAGAACACAATTCCCAGGACACATTTTGAATGCCCGGAGCCAACTCTAGGCCACTTCGTGTTCTTCGTGTTCCCACAACACCATTCCCAGGCCACATTTTGAATGCCCGGAGCCAGCTGTAGGCCACTTCGTGTTCTTCGTGTTCCCAGAACACCATTCCCAGGCCGCATTTTGAATGCCCAGAGCCAACTGTAGGCCACTCCGTGTTCTTCGTGTTCCCAGAACATCACTCCCAGGCCACATCTTGAATGCCCAGAGCCAGCTGTAGGCCACTTCGTGTTCTTCGTGTTCCCAGAACACGACTCTTGTACAATATTTTGATTGCTTGCAGCCAACTGTGGGCCATTTCGTGTTCTTCGTGTTCCCAGAACACAAGTCCTGTGCCATATTTTGAATGCCCGAGCTGAGGCCGGCTGAGGCTGAGGCCGAGACAGGCTGAGGCTGAGGCAGGCTGAGGCTGAGGCTGACGCAGGCTGAGGCCGAGGCAGGCTGAGGCTGAGGCTGGGGCAGGCTGAGGCTGATGCTGAGGCAGGCTGAGGCTGAGGCCGAGGCAAGCCGAGGCAGGCAGAGGCTGAGGCTGAGGCTGAGGCTGATGCTGAGGCAGGCTGAGGCTGAGGCCTTCGCAGGCTGAGGCCGAGGCAGGCTGAGGCTGAGGCTGAAGCACGCCCAGGCAGGCTGAGGCTGAGGCCGAGACAGGCTGAGGCTGAGGCAGGCTGAGGCTGAGGCTGACGCAGGCTGAGGGCCGAGGCAGGCTGAGCTGAGGCTGGGGAGGCTGAGGCTGATGCTGAGGCAGGCTGAGGCTGAGGCCGAGGCAGGCTGAGCCGAGGCAGGCAGAGGCTGAGGCTGAGGCTGAGGCCTGAGGCAGGCTGAGGCTGAGGCGAGGCTGGGCTGAGCTGAGCAGCTGAGGCTGTGCTGAGGCTGACGGCGGCTGAGGCGGCTGGGCAGCCTGCTGCAGGCTGAGGCTTAGCAGGCTGAGGCTGAGACAGGCTGAGGCTGAGGCCGAGGCAGGCTGAGGCTGAGGCCGAGGCAAGCCGAGGCAGGCTGAGGCTGAGGCCGAGGCTGATGCTGAGGCAGGCTGAGGCTGAGACAGGCTGAGGCTGAGGCTGGAGCTGAGGCAAGCTGAGGCTGTGGCTGAGGCTGACGCAAACTGCGGCTGAGGCAGGCTGGGGCTGAGGCTGATGCAGGCTGAGGCTTAGGCAGGCAGAGGCTGAGGCTGAGACAGGCTGAGGCTGAGGCCGAGGCAGGCTGAGGCTGAGGCCGAGGCAAGCCGAGGCAGGCTGAGGCTGAGGCTGAGGCTGAGGCTGATGCCGAGGCAGGCTGAGGCTGAGGCTGAGACGGGCTGAGGCTGAGGCCGAGGCAGGCTGAGGCTGAGGCCGAGGCAAGCCGACGCAGGCTGAGGCTGAGGCTGAGGCTGAGGCTGATGCTGAGGCAGGCTGAGGCTGAGACAGGCTGAGGCTGAGACAGGCTGAGGCTGAGGCTGAGGCAGGCTGAGGCCGAGGCAGGCTGCGGCCGAGGCAGGCTCAGGCCGAGGCAGGCCGAAGCTGAGACAAAGTGGGGCTGAATGGGTGGGGGGGGAAGGGGGGGGGGGGGGAGGCTGAGGCCGAGGCAGGCTGAGGCCGAGGCAGGCTGAGGCTGAGGCTGAGGCAAGCCGACGCAGGCTGAGGCTGAGGCTGAGGCTGAGGCTGAGGCTGAGTCAGGCTGAGGCTGAGGCAGGCTGAGGCTGAGGCTTTCGTAGGTTGAGGCCGAGGCAGGCTGAGGCTGAGGCTGAGGCAGTCTGAGGCTGAGGCCGAGGCAGGCTGAGGCTGAGGCTGAGGCAAGCCGAGGCAGGCTGAGGCTGAGGCTGAAACTGAGGCAGGCTGAGGCATCCGTAGGAATCCATAGGAATCCTTGGGAATCCCTAGGAATCCTTAGGAATCCGTAGGCACCCTTAGGAATCCGTAGGCATACTTATTCATCTTCAGGAATCCTTGGGAATCCTTTGGATTCCTCAGGAATCCTTAGGAATCCCCAGGAATCAGGATTCCTAAGGATTCCTATGGATTCCTGATGATGCCTAAGGATGACGTAGGAATCCCTCGGAATCCTTAGGATTCCATTGGATCCTAAGGCCGTTGCCACTGCGACTGTCATTGCGAATGCGACTGCGACTGCGAGAACAGCAGAATTCTACAACTGGATGATCACCTGAATCTTAAGGGGAATGCTTCCAGATATGCGAAAGAGCGCGTTCTACCGCTGCTGGCGGAAAACCGGGGGGGGGGTCACTACCGGTTCGAACCCCTCCCCCCCCCCTCCGGGGGGGGGTCACTACCGGTTTCGAACCCCTCCCCCCCCCCCCCCCTCTCGAAAACCCAGTGGGGGTGCGGACAGAGGTGGGGACGGTGTTGGTGGGACAGTGGTGAGGGGACAGCGGGACAGTGGTGGGGACAGTGGGACAGTGGGACAGTAGAGGGCCGGTAGTGGTGGGGACAGTGGTGAGGACAATGGTGGGAACAGGGGGGGCAGTGGGCAGTGGTGGGGACGGTGGTGGTGGGGACAGTGGTGTGGGCACAGTGGGAATGAGGTGGAAACAATGGGACAGTGGAGGGTACAATGGTGGTGGGGGCAGTGGTGAAGGCGGTGGCGAGGACGGCGGTGGGACAATGGGACAGAGGTACAGTGGGGACAGTGGTGGGGACAGTGGTGGGAACAGTGGGACAGCTCAGTGGGACAGCGGCGGAGTCAGTGGGACAGTGGGGACAGTGGGGATAGTCGGGCAGTGGTTGGGGCCGTGGAGACAGTGGGGAGAGTGGAACCGTGGTGGGAACAGTGGTGGGGACAGTGGGGACAGTGCGACAGTGGTGGGGGCACTGGTGGGGACACAGTGGGGACAGTGGTGGTGAGGACAGTGGTGCTGGGAACAACAGTGGAGGATGTGATGCGGACGGTGGTAGGGACCGGGAGTCGTTTGCTGGCGGTGAGTGGGGCGTGGGGAGGGGTTCGAACCGAGAGTGATCCCCCTCCGGTTTTCGAGGGGGGGGGGGTTCGAACCGGTAGTGACCCCCCTCGGTTTTCCGGATCCGGAGGGGGGTGGGGGGAGGGGTTCGAACCGGTAGTGACCCCCCTCGGTTTTCGGAGGGGAGGAGGGGGGAGGGGTTGGGGGGGGGGGGTTTTGCCGGGGGAGGGGAGGGGGGGGGTCCAGCAGGGGGGGGGGGGGGGGATTTTCGGGGGGGGGGGGGCGACCCCCGGGCTCTGGAGGAAAAGGTTGGCAATTTTCCACAGTAAAGCGGCGGTGGATCACGCTCTCTCGGATATTGAGATCGACTGCGAGGTCGATCGTGGAATCGATCGTGAGGACGATGGTGAGGTCGGTCGTGAGCACGGCACGTTTCGAAGCGGAAAGAAACGTGAGCATTAACTTTTGGTGCTCCGCGCTGGTTTCGTGGATCTGCACTGGACCCCCTCCCTGGCGCGGTCCGTGCGCCAGGGGCGGCGCAGGAGGCGCCGCTGGGGGGGGGGGCAGCGCAGATCCAAAAAACCCGCGCGGAGCGCCAACAGTTTCTGTTCATGGCGCTCTTCCTTCCCCCCACATTCTCCTCGCATTCTGGAGCGAATGCGCGCGCACGGCGCTGGGCGGCACCGTCTTTCGCACTCCAGGGCACGGGCGCGGCTTGTGGGCGCGGCACGCGCCGCGGACACGGCCCGTGAGCCCGGCGCTTCCGGAGCAGCACGGCGTCACGGGTCTTTGGCACGGCGCGGCACAATGTTTCGCTTGTCGGCTTCCAGGAGCGCTCTGACAACGCAAGCGGGCCCCCCCAATTTCCGCGAGCGCTGCTGAGGGAACGCGTCGAAGAAGAACAGACGCCATTCACAGAGACTTTTGGCGCTCCGCGTGGCTTTCTTGGATCCACGCTGGGCCCCCCAGGCGGCGCCTCTGGCGCCGCCCCCTTTTTTCTGTTCTAACACCAGCATATCTGTTCGGAGGTCTGCGCGGATTTGGTGGGTCGGCGTCGGACTCCCCTTCCCCATACGCTCCTGGCGGCGCCTCCAGCGCCGTCCCAGCTGCACTCTGGGTGTGTAGCGTTTCTGCTGCTAGTGTGCTAATCTGAAATTGCATGTTCGGGTGTTTCTCGTTGTCGCGGCTGGACGCGGCTCGAAATACGGGCACAGGCGGTGCCCAAACCAGGGTCGGTGGACCAAGTTCGACCACCTTTTCGCGGGAGGGGCCCTCGACATCCATGCGCCATTGAAAGACCATGACGAGAGCCCTGCGCTCTTCTTCGGGCCCCAGGGCCATAGCGAACAGGTCCTGATCGGGAAGTCCCTCGCAGAGCTGGGGGCGGGGACCCTGGTCGTGGCTTCACGACGCCGCCCTTGTCGTTCACGCGGCCTCGGCCAGCGTGGCCCTGAGGACGCCCGCCCGCCCACCGGTCGGCAGGAGCGGGCCTGGGGTGTCAGCGCCCTCCCGGACCTGGGGGGCGCAGCCCAGCCCTTGGGACCTCCGGCGGCGTGTCCGCAGGCTGCTCGAGCAGCGGGGTGGCGCCAGCTTTCTCGTTTTCGGGAGAGTCCCAGAGGCGCGCGGGGGGTTCGTCTCTAGGGGAGCAAAAGGTGACCCAAGCATAAAACTCGGAGCCTTTTTTGGGAGAGTCCCAGGGGCGCACAGGGGGTGCGTCCCTATAGGGGAACCAAGGGTGACATGAACATAAAAACTCGGAGGTCCGCGCGGATTTCTCGGATCGGCGCTGGGGCCCCCCGGCGGCGCCTCCGGCGCCGCCCCTGGCGCGCCAGGGAGGAGGGTCCAGCGCCGATCCGAGAAATCCGCGCGGATCTCAGAGTTTGTATGTTTATGTCACTTTTTGTTCTCCTAGTCTCGAAGACGAGGAGAGCTCTGTTGAAGACTCGAGAGAGGCCGAACACGGCGGGAGCGTGGAGCCGCATCCTCCCACGACGTGCCTTCCCGCGCGCTCGCCCCGAGGGCGCGAAACCGCTCGCCGTGGGCGATCTGCGAGCGGTGCGAGAGCGCGAAGCTCCCCGCGCCTCGCGCCGCGCGAGCCCTCGCGGGCCGAGCCGTGGCCCCCTCGGGGCCCGAAAAACAGCAGGGCCCGATCGAGAGGGCCGCGGTTCGCACGGGGGGGCACCCGCTGCCGTCCTGCGGCGGGGGCCCGTGGTGCCTGCGCCCCTGCGCCCCCGCCAGGCCAGCACGTGCGCCTCCCTGCGCGCCGTCTGGCAGGGCCACCCCGTCTGCGGCGGCCGGGCCGCCGTGCACTGGGCCGGGCTGCACGACGCGAGCGGTGCCGCGCACGCCGCCGAGTCGGAGGGCCTGTGGGCCGCGCAGGAGGCGATCGGCGACTCGATCCTGCTGCGGCTGCCCGCCAGCTGGGTCGAGCGGAGGCCGCAGGGCAGGAGCAGCGCCATCGTCCGCCCCGGCTCTCGAGGAGAAGAGCCGAGTGCGCACCACAGTCGAGCATGTGCCTGCCGAGCGCGCGGATTGCTCGGATCGGCGCCAGGCCTCCCCTGGCGGAGCCCTCGGCGCCGCCCTCGGCGCCGCCCCTGGCGCGCCAGGGAAAGGGGGTCCGGAGCATATCCGAGGAATCAGCGGGGACATCCGAGCGTGAATGCTCATGCCGGTGTGTCTTCTTCTAGGCTCGCACTGGCACCAGTTCGCCGCGCTGTTCGGCGAGGTGGCGGAGGTGGCGCTGGTGTGGGGGAGCGCGGCCGACCCCTCCTCGGTGGAGCTCCTGGCGGAGTTCCGCGAGAGGGAGTCCGCGCGTGGCATGTACGTGACGCTCGCGCGGCGGTTCCTGCACAACCCCCTGAGCGGCGGTCAGGGGAGGAAGGACCACCCCGACCCCAATCATTGGCGCTCAGATGCGTTTACTCAACGGCCCCGGGCGTTTGCTGAACGGCCCTGCCCTGTTCGATCCCTTCCTTGCCAGACCCCCGACGTTCACGACGTCTGCACCCAGAGTTCTCGACCTATTCCCGGGGACTGGTTTTCAATCCCGACTTGTTTTTTGGCGGTCCCGAGGCGGGTAAGGGCCCCCCCGGGGGGCGAACATAAGAAGGATTGTTTGTCGCATTGTTTCGTGACTCGATGGGGTCTGGGTTGGGTGCGTTTACTGAACGGCTTCGCTTCTCGGGGTACTTATTGTGAGAGTCTTTTTCTTGTTCCGCCCTCGAGGCGGAAAGGACGCCGTGTGCCCCGTGGTCTGCAGGACTCTGGCGGCGAACCTGGGGGAAACTTGGCATCGCTCGGACGTGGGCTGTGGGCGGAATTCTTGGCGAGGCCAGCGCCAGAAAATCTGGACCATGGAGCATATTGGATTGAAGCTCGCTGAGGGACACCGAGCGCGGTCTGTGCTTCTGGGGCGACGAGGGGGGTCGGGGGGGGGGGGAATTCTCTCATTAACACAAATCTCGGCAGCCCAATCGTCGGTAAGAGCAAACCTGACGTCCGAGCTTCTTGCGACTGGGGATCGTGAGGACTGCTATTAATGGATCAAGCACTCTGGCCATGCGTGTTGGGATCTGGCCCTGGAATCAACGCTGCCCCCCCCCCCCGCAGCGGCCTCCAAATCTTGGATCATCTTGCGGAACACGCTGGAAGCCGAACAACGCATAGGGACTGGACGTCCGAGCGATGGCAAGGGACGTGAGAGGGGGCAGACCTTCTCAGAGGGCGTCGGGGCGCCTCAGAAGCCTTCGCGCCGTCTGTGAAGCTCTGCAGGCTGTCTTTCTGGGCCACAGGCGGCGTCTCAGAGGGCGCGAGACCGTCGGGGAAACAACGACGCCCTCTGACCCCGACGCCCCGACGTCATGATCTGCTCACATTGTCGACCCCTAGAGGTCTCGACCCATTCCCCGGGACTGGCTTTTCATCTCGAGTCGTTTTGTTTACGGTCGCGGGGCCTGATGAGGGCCCCAAGAGGCCCCAAATCTGCAAAAGCCATCCGTCACATTTTTTCATGATTCGACTCGGTCTGGGGAGAAGGCCTGCCCCAGGGTTCATTTCAATCCGGTCAATCCGATTCGATATCGGTTTCGGCCATTTCGATCCGATCCGATTTCGATTTTCGGACGATTCGATGCGGCACGATGTTTGCACGGCGCTGCCGTGCATCTTGGCGCGTCCGGTCCGATTCGATTTCGATTCCGTGCTGACGCAGCCCGATCCGCTGCACATTCCGATTCGATCCGAGCTTCCGGTTCGATGCTGACTGATGCTGCCCTCTGGGAAGGCCTGCCCCCCCATCACCCTCCTCGGCATCGCTTGACCGACCCCTATCCGCATCCCCATCCCCCATCCCTTGCCAGGCCCCCACCATCTCAGCACCCCAGTGGGGGCTGCTCCCTTCGATGCCCGAAGGGAACGGCTTCTGCTCCCCTCTGGGGGGGGGGGGGCAGATCGGCCAGGGCGGGCCCGGGCCGCGCCCACGGGGATGGGGGTCGGCGAAGCGGTGCTCCTCCCCCCCGACCCATGCTCCCCCGGGGGCCCGCCGCCGAGGAGTGGCATGGCGTGGAGGCTGCGGGCGCTGGCGGGCATGCCCAGCGCCGCAGACGTGCTGCGGGGCGTCTGGCTGGGCGACGCGGCCGTCAGCGGCGCTCTGGCCGGAGAGGCTCCCGCGCGGGCCGCGGGGGCGCCCGCCCGGCCGGCCGAGAGCGCCTCGGCCGCGCAGGCTCGGGGGCTTGTCTCGCTTGCAATCAAGGGATTGAGCCTTCTCCTCCTCCTCCTCCTTCCTCCTCCTCCTCGTCCTTCTCCTCCTCCTCCTCCTCCTCCTCCTCCTCCTCCTCCTTCTCTTCCTTCTCCTCCTCCTCCCTCTCCTCCTCCTCCTCCTCTTCCTCCTCCTCCTCCTCCTCTTCCTCCGCCTCCTCGATCAATACTCCGATCGACATAGGTACGGAAACATACATACAAATAGGGTTGGGCTAGGGCGAGAGCGTTCTGGAACGCTCTGAGAAGGCCGCAGCGCTTGAGACATCTTCTAGGGCCGCCAGATGTCGGACATTCTCTATGTTTTCCTCACCCGAATTTGTCCTCGTCCTGGCTTCGTCGTTTGCAAAGACCGACGGCAGTTCCTGCTCATTTTGAACAGGACTCACTGTCGGTGTCGCCACGGGTGGTGTTCTTTTTTGAGACAGAAGTCCGCCTGCCCAACAGTAGCCCGCCTGCTGGTTTTGAACAAATGTTGTCGGGCATTGTGCCCATGCTTTCCGTACCCACTTCGGGCGTCCAAAGTAGAGAAGAGGGTTATCCGATTGATGAAAGGGAACGAGCGCAGTTGGATGTTTACATGGGGCGTTCCAGAAAGGGCTTCGCCTTCGAGGGTCGAAGGTATTGCCATCGCTTCGGCGGAAGGCTGCGGAAGTAAAACGAGGGCGGGTTAGCTGGCGAAAGCAGGCGGAAGTAATTACCAGCCGCCCAAGATTAGGCACCACGGCGTTGGGGTTCAGGATTTCTGGAACCCGCCACGTGACTTTTTTCCAGGATCTGTTCTGAACGATTTTCTTTCCAATCCTACCTCTACCTCTATCCCACCTTTCATGTCTCCCCGACAGGCCGCCGACGACGACGACGAGGGGCCAGTCTATCAGCTGCTCCGGCTGGGCGGGAAGCGGCCCTCGTCGGTGGCGCTGTCGCGGCAGAAGCCGTCGGCGACCCTGGGCCGCAGTCGGGAGTGCGACCTCGTGGTGGTGACCAGAGGGGGTCGGGTTGAGGCAACGGCAGTTGGCCTTCGGGGAGGGGGGGCTACCCCTCGTCGCCACGGCTGGGCGCAGCTCGGGGAGTCGGTGTTTCTGGACCCTGGTCGGGGTCTTGGGGCCGATTTTGAATTGCCGTCTTCTCACTTCGCCCTGCTCCGAGGCGAGCCACCTGCTGTCTCGGGAGCATGCGCTGCTCAGCCTCCTGGGGAGCGGCGAGCTGTTCGTCGAGGACCGTTCGACGAACGGCACCTGGATGAACGGGAAGAAGCTCGCGCCGAGGCTGCTGACGCAGCTGCAGGACGGAGACGTGCTGAGGTTCAACGAGCCGAAGGGCGACGGCGACCTGCAGGACCCCGCCTTCGAGGTGCGGCTGTTGCAGGGAGCGGACGGCGCGCTCACCCCGCGCCCGCCGGCGACGCCGCGCCCGCGCACAGCCGCCGCGGGCGCCGCCGCCGAGGGCGCCGCGGCCGCGGCGGCGCGGCCCGCGGCGGAGAGGTCCGCCGGAGTGCCCACGGGGGGTGGCACGACTGCGGCAGCGCCTTCTGCGGGGTCGGCGCCGTCGGGGGGCGGCGAGCGCGCAGCGCGAGACCGGCGCGATGGCGCGGGGGCAATGGCCGCCGCTGCCGCCGATGAGCGCGCGCGGCAGGAAGATCCTGCGGAGAGGCGGCAGCGCCTGGCCCTCGCCGAGCATAATCGGCGACAGGAGCTGCTCGGCACGGTTCAGGGGGCGTACCGTGCGCTCAATCAGCCCCTGGAGGTGGGCATGAACAGCTGGTCCGAACAGAGGTTGCGAGAGGCGCACGATCGCTTGATGCACCGTTCGCGCGGCGGCGGGCAGGATGTGGAGCGCGCCGGCGGCGATGCAACGAAGGCGGCCGCGGCCTCAGGCGCGCCGGGCAGGGGCCGCGTGCCCGTCTGCCCGCCGGCCAAGCGGGCGGCGCCGCCCGCCCTGGCCTGAGCGGTCCGGCCAGTATTTCGCCAGCGGCGGGCGGCGGCCGCCGCCCGGCACAGCGCCGCGGGCCGCCCGACGCGTCCGGCGACGGCCGCCGCCTGAAAGTGTGGGGTTCCCGCACGGGGCCCCATCATCCCCATCCCGAGCCCCGCCACTTCACCAGCCCATAAGTGTGGGTATATCCTTCGAAACCCGAAGGGAGCAGCCTATATCCCCACCTGCGGGGTAAACCGGCCAGTGCGGCCCAGGCCACGCCGTTGGGGAGAAGGGACGGCTAGACGATGCTCGGAGTAGTAGATCGCGCCGCATCGCTGCTGCACCGGGAAGCAAGTCGATGTGGAGCCAAACTTGCTCCACGCCGATGCGTCGCCGATGCATCGCCGATGCGGTGCGGTCCTCCAGCCCCATCCGCCTGGACTTCGGTTGGGAGGCCTACATCTTGGGCGGCGCCGATGGCCTCGACCCCCCCGGCCGGGTCCGCGGCGGCTCGCAGTGACCTCGGCCGGCTGGCCGCGGGCGCGCGGGCTCCGTGGCACAACGGGGTCGGCGGATCGCGCCGCATCGCCGCTGCGATCGGCGGTGCGGCTCGGTGTGGAAGCCGAGTCTGGGCGAAGCACCGCCGACGTCGCCGGTGCATCGGCGGAGCGGCGCGATCCTCCGACCCCACCTTCGCAGACCCCATTTGGATGCCTGCAGAGGCGCCTGCCCGCACGCGCCCGTCGCCATGAAAGGAAAGGGGTCGGGACGACCGGGTCGACGAGATCTCATCATGCAATGTACGCGCCGGCTATGGCCAGGGTCATCTCCGGGCCCCGAATGGTTTTTTTCCTGGTGGCCTGAGGTGGCCGTGCAATGTTTCTGGCCACCACGCAGGGGGGCGAGGCTGGATGTTTTCTGGATTTGTGAAAAATGATTTGGGGAGCCTCTGGTGACCGTTATCGGGCTCCGGGGCCGTCGAAAACGGATCTGGTGTCAGAGCGTGCACCAGCTGGACACGGGGAGGAGTCTGGTGACCGATTTGGGGCGGATCCGCCCTTATCTACCCTTGTCGACACTATTTCTCAGGGCCCATCCAGTTCAGGCCCCTGGCCGCCTCCAAGCTGTCCCCTCCTTGCCGGGCAAGGGGGGCGTTCCCGCCGATTTTGGGCCCACGATGGACTTGGCCAGGGGCGGCTTTGTTGCACAGCGGGGCGTCCTTCCAAGGCAAGGTGTTCCCCCCCCCTTCTGGGGCACCCGCCGCGCAGGCCTCCCCGTCACTTGGGCCACGCGGTCCCCTCCTGCCCGCCAGCCCTCTCCCCCCGCTCTTCTCCCTCCTGCCAGCCAGCTCCCCCCCGTCCTTGTAGGCCACGCGGTCCCCTCCGTCCCGCCCGCCCCCGTCGTCCCGTCCCCGTTTCCGGCGCGCTCGGATGTTTCGGTTCCGCTGGGCCTCCCCGTTGACTACTCGGCCTCCCCTGCCCTCGAGGAGGGGCGGAGGGTGCCGAAGGCTGCGGCGGAGGGAAGAGAGGAACAGCTAACTACTGCGGTGTATTCTTCCCCCGGGGGCCAGCAGAGCTGCGACGTTCCTTGGACGCGGCCCTCCAGGGCTCCACCGCCACCACCACCACTTCTGCCTTCTACCCCCCCACCTCCCTCCTCCCCCCCTCCTGGGCATGGCTGTCAGAGGCAGATTTCGAACAGTTCGCCGAAGTCGCTGTGCGCAGGCTTGGCCGGGCCTCCCCGCACGCCGCGCCGCGGTGGCAACCCGTCCCAAGTTTGGGCGGGTGCTGGGGCTGCGGGAGTGCGGGGGGAGGTCGCCGTCGGACGGTGGCATTCGGGTCATTCCTGTGCTCGGGTGGTGCAGAACTTGCGGGCGAGCGCCCCCGACCCAGGCAGGAAGACGAGGACAGGAAACACAGCAGTTCTACTGAGTCAGATCCGCTCGCGCAGAGCCTGAAAGGGCAAACAGCGCAAAATGGGACTCGCGTGTCGCCAGAGGCTCGATCTCCCTCTTGGGCCGTGCGCCATCCCATCGGGCCGTGGGGAGGTGACAGAATCAGCCGCGAGCGGGAAAGCCATAGTGGAACGCACTCACTCCTCACAGGGAGAGGAGCTACGAACATTGTGTAGCTCGAGCTCAGAGGCTAGAGCGGCATCCGACGATCCGAGCGTAACAGAAGCCTACGACCGAACGCACAGCGAAGCCGTGCGCAGCTTGCTACATGCCGGTTGCAGCGGCAAGGGAGGCCCGAAGGCCCGACCTGGGCGTGCGCCGGCCCACGCCTCGTGGGGAAGGGGGGAGGAGCGGGGGCGAACAGAAGGCCAAGTAGAGAATCTGACGCACCGCGTCACACGGCTGCCATTGGCGATGCAGCACTCACAGCCTCACGGAGAGAGCGCGCGAGAGACGCGGAGTGGCCAACAGACGTGCAGATCATCGCAAACACACGAGAGGCATGGGGGACCAATTGTAAGGGTCTGCGATTAACAATGCAGACGCACACACGAGAGATGCGCGCACGCTCTAGAGCGCAGCCAACAGGGCGCGCAAGATGGCTTCAGAAACGCCTCGGCTCTTGACCGATCCGCTGTGAATCCTGCATGGATTCAGAAGCCTGCCTGGACCTGCACCTGCACGCCGGATGCGTTGTCTCCCAGAACAACTTCTTCACAGGGACGCTCGACGACAGCATTAGCGAAGCCACGACCTCCGTATTATTGATGATGAATTGGAATAGGGAACTCCAGCATGAGGAACCCCACCATGCGCGTTTATGAATTAGTCCAGTGCGACTGACGGGGAGCCCCATCACGAGGAACCCCATGGACGCCGAGACGCGAATTGGCGGTGAGAGCACGGACACCAGAAGCAAGCTCGCGAACAGAGGAGCTGCTCCGGTGCGCGCACCCTGCAGCACGCTTGGCCCCGGTGTGTAAATTTAGACCGAAGGGACCAGCGAAGGGCATGTCCAATTCGCACGCGACCGCGTTCGCCAGGAACCTCGAGCACAGTACCACGCCAGTTGCAGACCGCCATCGCCGACATCTGCAGCACCATGGTGTCGCAGGATACGGGCACCTTCTGGTCGAAGACGCTTGCCTCGCCTCGATTACGATGCTTGCGCGTTGGCACTAGGACAGCTCGCTGAGCCCAACGCAGACAACAGGTTGGGCGACTTGGCGAAACGTGCCGTAGTTCACGAAGTGCACGATGCCGGCCACGAGAGCCTCGAGGAGGAAGCCGAGGCCACGGTGGAGGAGGGCGACCGTGCTGCCTGCGGACAGCATGGCGCACACAGGCAGCACGACAATGGTACAGTGCCGTTTTTTATACATGCTCCACGTGCGGATAATGTATTGGAAAAGCAGGGATTTAGTACTAAAAACAACGATGAGTTCATGCATACATTTATTCCTAAATTGATCATATATTAAACATTCTATGTCTTTAAACATCCTATGCATTAAACGCTGCCCTGTCTGGTCAAAGGCGGGCCCCTTCGCCTCGGGCACGCGGTCGGTCCCGGCCGTGGCGGGCGGGTCGGCGCGCGTGAAGCTGTGGCGCGGAGGGAGGCAGCGGCAAAGGGCGGGCCTCTCGTGCACGGAGCCTCCTAGGAGGGGGAGAGAGAGGCAGGAGGGGGGAGGAGGGAGGGGCAGGAGGGACGGAGGAAGGGAAGGAGGGAGGAGGGGAGGCAGGAGGAGGGAGGAGGGAGGGGAGGGAGAGATGCAAGGATGGAGGGAGGGAGGTGAGGAGGGAGGAGGAGGACGGGGGGTTGCAGAGGCGCCCAGACGAGGGTGGAGGCAAACAGTGGGGGCGACGGGAGCTGGTCGTCGCGTCGTCGCCTGTCCTGGTCCGCACGGCAGTAGCCGTCTGCTGCTGCGGTCGCGGTCGCGGTCGTGAGCCTCGGGTCGTGGACTACGCCGTGGTCGCAGTCGCGGGCGTGGCCGTCGAGCCATTGGGGTTCAGTCGGGCATGTCCCTCTGCAGGAGGAATCTTCATGAATAGTCACGAATACTCGTGGGACGATTTTTCGACTACGTTTTTATTCTTGAGTATCATTTTTAATGTTTGGTCCAACATGCGGCTGTAGGACATGCCCGACCTAAGCCTGAATGCCCGGGCCGGACAAAGGGGGGGGCTATCTATTGGAAGAGGGGCTTACGGAATTTGCTACTTGCAGCTGGTTCCGGCTCCGCCCCCTGGGCGCTTTTGTGTTTCCTCGCTACATTGGCGCCGCTGGCACCTGGAAGCGCCGAGTGCGGTCCCAGCGGGTCAGGGAGAGGGTGGGGGCGAGGGGATCTCCGAGGGCCGCGGCTTCGCAGCGGCAGGCAGTGTCAGGTTTCGGGGTCCTGGGCGCCCATCGGCGCGCGATCCCTTTCCCTTTCCTCCTGTGCACCCTGCTGTTCTCAGCCCTTCAATCCTAGGCGGGGATTTACCCATAACCACTGCCTGGGGGATCGATGCTCGCGGACCTCCACAGGCGATGGATATGAACGTATTCGGGCCTCTGGGCGCCAACATATGTCCATATCTACCGCCCTCCGGGGCACCAGGACGTCGGTTCCCAGGCGTTGGATACGGACAAAGCCCCGCTTCGAATATTTGGCAGCATCTCCACGCGTGCCCGTCGTCGATCGCCGCCTGGGTCCAGGCAGCAGTGGCAGAGCGCAGAGTCCCTCCCGAGTGGAATTAGAAGACAGCTGCCGCCAGGCGCGTGGGCCCTGCTACGCCCGGGCGCTGATCGAGCAGAAGCTGTTCCACGCCACTTTTGGGGGCAACGGCAAGGGGGGGGATAGGCATACAGTGGAGGCCCATGCCAAGAAACACCCTGCTCGCCCCCAGGGTGCCTTGGGTTTTTTTGGCTGTGGAGAGCGCAGCGCTCCCACACCAGAAATCAATGGACGTCCTGGTGTCTCAGGGTTGGGCCCATTGTGGAAGGTTTCTTGTGGTCGAGCTCCTACTGTAGGGGGGGATGCATCGACCCCCATTCGTCCATTCGATGCCCGATGCATTCAGTTCAGACCCCCGCGTCGCCTCCAAGACTCCATGTCTCGTGCGTCGTGTAAGTAGGACTCGGGGTCAATGTGAAGGGCGGGGGATAGGCTCATGGAGAGACGTGGGGCTTGGGGAGGGCGTACCAGGGGCCACGTCAGGGTCGAGGTGCGAAGTTCTGGGCGTTGCCGTCGGCTCTCGGCGATTTGCCAGCCTCGGGGTGCTCACCAACAGCCGTCTCGCCGAGGGCGTTCTGGGGATGCCGGGGTCACCCCGAGCCGAACGGCCGCAGGAGAACCGATTTTTTTGATCCGAAGACCAGACGACGAGGATGAATTGGCGGGGATGGGATCGGTTCCAGCGCGATGCTTCCTCTCCTTTAGCCGGTCCCCCCTGACGTTGACCCCCAATGCCGTCGTGCGCAAGAGCCCCCCCTTCTTCTCGTCGCTTGCGTGACGCTCGATGCTGCCGCCACGCTCGCTCGATGATCCGCTTTTTGATGACCCCGACGTCGCTGCGGGCGCCAGGTTCGCTGGCGAGGACTTCGTCCTGCAGCTGGACAGCCACTACAGGATGGCGGAGGGCTGGGACGAGGAGCCCCCCCCCCGCTGGCGAAGCGGAGACTTCGAAGGGAAGTGGAAGCAGGAGGGCTCGTGTTTTCCTCACGCGCAGAGGACAAGGCCGCGCAAAAGTAAACTTTCGGAGGTGCGCGCGGAGTTCCTGGACCCGCGCGGACCCCCCCCCTCCCTGGCGCGCGGAGCGCGCCGGGGGTGGCGCCGGAGGCGCCGCCAGGGGGGCCCCGCCCCGAGCCGAGAAGCCCGTGCGGAGCTCCGACGGTTCCTGGTCATGCAGTGCTTCCCGCCTCCAGAGGAGGAGGGCCCATGAGAATCCTTGGGCATGTCGGCCCCACCTCGCGACACCCACGCGGTGCATAATGTCAGATCGGCGGCGAGTGAGGGGGTAAATGAGAATCGGCGGCGGGCGCGGGGGGGAAATGAACAGGAGAAGGCCTTCTCAGAGGGCGGTGGGACTTCTCCGAACCCCTCGCGCCTTCTCTGAAGTTTTGTGTCTCCGGGGAAGGTTTAGAAAACTTCAGAAGGCCAGGGGACTTCCGAACCTTCTGAGAAGGCCTTCTCTTTCTCACTTCTCCCCCTCCCTCGAAGGCCAGGAGGGCGTGTGCCCAGATCTCCAACGATGCGTTTCCAACAAAAATGCATAAAGATGTTTCGAGCCATCCCCACCGAGACCTTGAGCGTCTGTTCCCGACGGCGGCGCGTTGTCGCTTGATTGGTCGACAGCTGCCCTTTCTGGATTCAAAAACAGTTCAACCGAGTTCCATGCAGTCACGTTCTTTCATGCTCTGCTCTATTCTGCCCTGTTCTGTTCTCGACGGGCCGGCGTGACATCGTGACGCTTGTGACGTTAGATGCGTCGTCTGTTAGGATATTCCTCTTCACTTTTATATGGTCGTCTGGTCGAATATGTGATGATATGCTCATTTCTATCGCCATGTGATTTGACATGTAAGGGTATGCAATGCTTTGTGGCACTGTGTTATGGCATGGTATACTATGCCAAGGTATGTTCTAGTATACGTTTTTCCGTGATGCTGGTGACAGCTCGATTCAGTATATATATACAGTTGGGATATACATGTTATCATATGCTCTGCTGGTATGTTTCCCTATGCTTTGCATTCGTAGTATCATATGTGATTTTGCCGTGGTATGATATGATGTGTTTTGTCATGGTGTGCTAGATTCTGATCGGTTATGTCATTTTGTGCCCTGTCGTCTTCTGTTCTGTCATGTTCTGCTCTGGTATGGTATGTGATGTTCTGTATGTTGGCGGTTCCGCTCTGTATAGTATATGGTGATGTTCTTTGCTAGTAGGTGTCGCTATGCTCTGCTGTCGTGGTCTGATATGTTCTGTGATGCTGTGTCATGGTATGTTTTGTTATGTCAAGTTGTGTTACGTGATGCTCGGCTCTGTTTTGTTATGTTGTGGTTGGTCGTCTTCTGCTCTGCATGTTCTGCTCTTGTATGTTCTGTGATGTTCTGTTATACTTTGTTTTGGCATGCCATTGCTATGGTATGGTCTACCATTCTCTGTCATGCTCGTGTTCTGTTCTGTCATGTTCTGTTGTGCCATGCCGTGTTCGGTCTTGATCGTCGTCGTTGTGCCCTGCTGCCGTCTTATACTTCTCTCAATGGTGCTCTGTCATTATATGTTATGTCATGTCAAGGTGTGTTGATTTATGTTCGGTTCTGTTCTGTCCTGCTGTGTTCTGTCGTCGTCTGTTTTATCATGTTCTTCTATGGTATGTTCTGTGATGCTCTGTTTGTTGGCGGCTCGGCTCGATATAGTACAGGCTGTTATGTTATGCTAGTATGTGTTGCTATGCTTTGCCGTCGTGTGATGATATGGTATGAGATGCTGTGTCATGATATGATATGTTATGCTAAAGTGTCTTATGACAGCATCGGTTCTGTTATGTTATGTTGTGATATGTCGTCTTATGTCCAATCATGTTCTGTTCTGGTATGGTTTGTCAAATTCTAGTAGGTGTTTTATCATTACCTGTCTATGTTATGGTCTGTCATGTGCTTTCATGCTCGTGTTATGCTCTGTCATGTTCTGTTGTGTCATGTTGTGTGCTGTCGTGATCATCGTCGCTTTGCTCCTCCGTCGTGTTATGATATGGCATGTGATGTTTTGCCATGATATGATATGTCATGTAAAGGTGTGTTATGGTATGTTCGGCGTTGGTTGGTTATGTTGTGTTATGCCGTCTTATGGTATGCCAGTTTATGCTATGCAATGTGATGTGATGTTATGGTATGTTGTTTGTTGGCATGCCATTGCTATGATATGGTATGCCATGGCATGTTATGCTCGTGCTCTGTTATGTACTGTTATGTTGTGCTATGCCGGCTCCGTCGTCGCTATGCCCTACCAACGCACCATGATATGTTATGTCATGCTGTGTCATGATATGATATGCCCTGTCAAGGTGCGTTCTGGTATGCTGGGGTATGTTATCTTATGGTACGAATTGGTATGATTTGGCATGCTTTGGTATGCTCTGTAATGTTGCTGATATGTTAGTTTCTGTCATGTTCTGCCATGCTCTGTTCCGTTCTGTCATATGCTCTTCTGCCATGTTGTGTTCTGTCGTGTTCGTCGAGGGCGCGAGGCGGGACACCCGGGACTCTCGGAGATCATCGGGACATTTTGGGGTCTGTCGGCCGCGGCATGCAGGGTGGGGTTGGCCAGGCGCGAGGCGGGACACCCGGAACTCTCGGGGATCATCGGGACTGCTTGGGGTCTGGCGGCCACGGTATGCAGGGCGGAGTTGGCCAGGCGCGAGGCGGGACACCCAGGACTCGGGGATCATCGGGACATTTTGGGGTCTGTCGGCCGCGGCATGCAGGGTGGGGTTGGCCAGGCGCGAGGCGGGACACCCGGAATTCTCGGGGATCATCGGGACTGCTTGGGGTCTGGCGGCCACGGTATGCAGGGCGGAGTTGGCCGGGTGCGAGGCGGGACACCCGGGACTCGGGGATCATCGGGACATTTTGGGGTCTGGCGGCCGCGGCATGCAGGGTGGGGTTGGCCGGGCGCGAGGCGGGATATTCGGGATCATCGGGACTGCTTGGGGACTGCAGGGTGGAGTTGGCTGGGGGGCCTGTTCTTGAATCGGCGGCGAGCGAGGGGGGGGAGTGACAAGGGGCGGGCCTCATCAGAAGTCTCGGAAGTTCCCCGGCCTTCTGAGAAGTTTCCTGAGCCTTCCTTGAAGACAGAAAAAAATCCTCAGAAGGCGCGAGGGCTTCGGAGAAGTCCCGCCGCCTTCTGAGAAGGCCTTCTCCATCTCATTTCCCCCTCGCGCGCCGCCAATTGACATCGAGCAACCCCAACCTGCAGGGTGGGGAACAAAAACACGTCGTCGGAGGTCTGGGCACGCCCTCCTGGGCTCTGTGGGCTCCGACGAGATGGTGTCCTCCACCCCGCGGCCGTTCGTCCGTCGATCTCGGGCCCCGGGGCCCTCAAGGGCAGGTCTGGGAGGGAGCCAGCGCGGATGGGGGAAGCAGTTAGCAGGTCGGCGGGTGTCAGGCAATGAGATCCGACGTCGCGCAAGATTTGTAGCTTCGCGAAACATCGCGGCGGGAGCCTCAGACCCCACCTTCGTGATGCTTTTTTCGAGCCGCCCAGGGCGAAAAATACTGTGCGCGAGACAGTCGCAGCGCCAGGGTTCAGGCAGGCCTCGAGTCGAGGTAAATCGCTTCAGAGCCTTCCGGAATGCTCTCGGAGCGTGGCGGAACGCTCTGAAACGGCCGCGGCGCCCGATACATCTTCCAAGCCCGCCGATCCTCAGGAATCTCCGATTTCCATCGCTCCGATTTTGTCTCGATTCTGCCTTCGTCTGGAGGGTTTCAGGGGATGTCAGGGTGCGGTGCGCCCAGCGCGGGGCCTAGGGCGGGCCTGGGCGGGGCCGGTCGCTCTGGCGCCCTCTTGCCAGGGGTGACGAAGGCCCCAAGGAGGAGGAGGACGAGGAGGAGGAGGCGGAGGAGGCGGAGGATGAAGAGGACGAGGACGAGGATGAGGATGAGGAGGAGGAGGACATGAGGAGGAGGAGGATGTCACGATGCCATCGGCGCACTGATGCGAACTTGTTCGCATCAGTGGTGGGAGCAGAGGAGGAGGAGGAGGAGGAGGAGGAGGAGGAGGAGGAGGAGGAGGAGGAGGAGGAGGAGGAGGAGAAAAAGGAATATGCGGAGGGCGGGGGCGCGTCCGAGGGCGGCCTGCGTGCCCCGCCTGGCGGTGTCCTCGAGAGGGGAGGCGGCGGCAGGCGGCGGGCTCGGCCTCTCTCGCCCGGCTCCCCGCCGGGTCGGCGGGGGCTCTGCGGCAGGGGTGTCGGGCGGGTGGCTGCATTTGAGCGCCAATCGGTGGCGCGCCGAGGGGCCCGCTGTGACCGTCGAGGGCTGCCGAGCGAGTGCTGCTTGTGTCACCACCCACCAAGCCACCCCAACCCAACCCGAGGGCCCCCCGATCTGCCCTCCACTGCCAGTGGGGGGTGGCGGGGAGCATCGAAACAAAAACACATAGAAGCTCGTACCCCCCCCAACCCGAAATTCGAGTTGGGTTGGGTTGGGTTTCGAGTTGTCTGGTGGGTTGGGTTTCGAGTGGTCGATGCCGTGGCCCCCTGGCCCGCAGCTTTGGACGGAGATCGGCGGCCTCGTCGGACCAGCCGCCCTCGTTGCATCTGTCCCAATTCTGGCATCCCCCATCGCGCATGCGGTCCTTGAACTTCTCGTTGCGGCTGCTGCAAAGAGGACAATCCATCTGAACCGTCCCAACAAGGCCCCTTCCACCACGGAGCTGCTCTTTCTACGCCTGCGATGTAAACTTCGTGCATGAGCTGCATGTTCGCCTATAGGGTGCGATTCGGCGGCACGCCAAGGGGGGGAGTGAGGGGAGGCAAGCCTTTTTCAGAAGGCGGCGGAGCTACTCGGAAGCCCTCATGCGTGGCTTTGGAGAAGGCTTACAAAGCTTCTCCGAAGGCCAGGGGCCTTCTGAGCTTTCCGAGAATCGGGCGGGTGGTGGTGGTGGGTGACCTGAATCGGGTTTTGTACAAAAGATCTGGAAGGGGCTTTAGGGGCAACTCTTCGAGCTTGCAGGGGCTCTTTCGCTGACTCGCGCACATCTCACTCTGCGGCCCGCATGCCTTCCTCTTTGTGATCCTCTGGGCCTCCTCTGGACGGCGTTCGCGCTGACCTTGATCCTATGCACCCGCGGGCAACCCCTCGCGTGCATCAGCGTCTTCATCTTCTCTTCCTCCTGTCGGCCTCTGTCGAGGCGATCTGTCACCGTGTCCTTCTTCGTCTGAACGCATTCCTGTAGCTTCGCGTCCAGTTCCAGCCGCCATGGCTCCTGTCCGACTACGTCTACTTTGGTCGGGTCCAATCCTATCCAAGCTCACTAAAGACGAATCTTAGCCCGCATGCGTAGGACGACTCTTCAAGAGTTTTGCGAGATTTTCCGGCGCAGAGCACACCTGCTACACCCGTAAGTTTACATTTGAGTGTTCCCCCGGGCAGTCTAGATAAGGCAGCACTCTTCCCTAGACAGAGTAAATTGGCACCAGGCTTTTGGCGTAGGACTACTCTACCCTACCACGAGGGTCGTAAGGCTCCTCCAGGTACCCTTGTTAACGCGATCTACGACATCGATATGGGTTCGTACTTTCGTACCGTACCAATGTCGCCGAGCCTCGTACCCTGGCCTTGAAGTAAAAATGGGCAGCGACACGCATGTTACACAGTGCGGGTCGTTGCGTTCCTCTTCGACACGCGCCCGTACACTCAACACAATACGCGAATGTAAGTATACGCATAAACGCATCCAACGCAAACATAGCCATATGACTGTCACTACTTGAGATCCCTAGACCGTAGGTGTTCCATGCTCCTCCCCCTTCCCCTCCCCCTCTTCATCCTCCCCCTTCCCCCTCCCCCTCCTGTTCCTCCTCCTCCTCCTCCTCCTTCTCCCCCTCCTCGATATCCTCGATCTCGTCCTTCTCCTCCTCCGCCTCATCCTCATCCCCATCCCCATCCTCATCCTCCTCTTCCTCCCCCTCTCGGGCGGGACGAAAACGGGGGACTCGTGACGGGGGATTTTCGCGAAACTTGTTGCACATGTGACCAGCTTCGGCCTCGCCGCCAGGCGGATTCCTCGATCTGTCAGCGCCTCGCTGATTTCTCCCCCGCCTCCCGTTTCGTCCAGCCCGGCTTCCGCTCCCGCTCGCTGGCGACGTGCCCTCAGGAGTTGGTGTCGCAGCTGCGCCTCTGCGCCAGCCCAAAGCCCATCCTGACGACGCGCCCTCAGTGCCCGCCTCGATCCCCTCGCCGCTGAGATGGCGCGTTTCGGATATGGCAGCTCTAGGCCCGCGCCTGCGCCGCTGAAGCCAGCCGCTGGCACGAGGGCGACGACCCAGAGATCCCGAGGCTCCGAACCAAGCTGAGCAGCCAGGTGATTGTTTTTGTTTTCGTTGTTTTGCCGATCGGCGCGGGCCCCCTCGCCCCCCACCCCCCTTGAGTGGATCTTGGCTGTTCTTTGGCGCCTGTTTCAGGCAGGTGGAGTTCCTCTCCATTGGACGCACTGTTCCAAACAATCGCCTTAAGCAGAGGTCGGGAGCAAGACCCCCCCCTCCCCCCCCGTTCTTCCCAATATCGAAACGCCGAATACAAAGTAAACGCTCACGAGCCAGGTTGGGGCCATTTTCGGATTCCGGGGGCCCTCAACGGGCCATGGGACCGTGGGGATGTAAATCTTGCTTGCCCTGGAGAAGTGTTGTCAAGCTCCCCCGGGAGGGGGCCCGCGCATCGAACAAGATTGGAGCGCCAGAGGTCCGGGGAGCGGTCTGAGCTCTGGAGAGCTAGCTCCCCCCTTGTGATCTTGTGGCTCGGGGCCTCCCACCCTGGAACGTTCTTCGCTCGGGCTTTCTTCCCCAATGGGTCCTTGAGCCTCCGGCGAGGGGGCTCCGGCTCTCGACCCGCGTTTTTGTGGCCATGTTTCGACTGTTGTCCTCCTCCTCCTCCTCCTCCTCCTCCTCCTCCTCCTCCTCCTCCTCTCGACCCGCCTTCCTGTGGCCATGTTTCGACTGTTGTCCTCCTCTTCCTCCCTTTCCTCCTCCCTTTCCTCCTCCTCCCTTTCCTCCTTCCTTTCCTCCTCCTCCCTTTCCTCCTCCTCCCTTTCCTCCTCCTCCTCCTCCTCCTCCTCCTCCTCCTCCTCCTCCTCCTACTCTCGACCCCGCGTTCTTGTGGCCATATTTCGACCGCGCACTACGCTCAGGGACTTTGGCTTCGAGTGTCTCGCCGCCAGTTCTGGCCCACAGCGCTTCGGCCGCGACACGCTAAAGGAGCCACCTCCCCGCTTCCAGGCATCAGTATCCCGAGCCTCTCCCAGCCCCCTGCCCCGCGGAGTGGAGCTCAGAGGAGGGAAAGGTACCCATACATCTACCCTCCGCCCGTTTCCCCTTTTTGGGCCTCCTCGGAGGCCCTCGTCGCCACCGCTGGATTCGCGTCGAAATTCTGGTCAGAACGCACCCTGGGAGAGGTCCGGGGAGTAGCGGTATCGGTACCTTTTGGTCTCCCCAGTGGAGCGACGCGCTGCCAGCTCGCAGGGGATAGCGGCTAGCGTGTCGCCGGGGCCGCCGTCGAGACACGGTGAGCAGAAGTTTCTGACCGCAAGCCACGCTACAGTCGAGACCGATGATAAGGATAGGTAATGTTCCCAAGGGTACCCTTCCATCCCTGCCTCTTCGGCTCATCCTTGGCCACTTTCGATGGCCAGCCCCGCTCGCCGCTCGAAGAGCTTCCACATGCGCGTCCGAGGGGCTTGCATCCTCACCGCGCATCCTTACTATCAGCTTTGGCTGTAGCCACAAGCCTTCGACGTTCCCGGAGTACATGAAGCGGTCGGCTCGGCATGCAGGAAGGGGGAGCATCGGGGGGGGTCCGCAAGTGGAGAGGCCAGGGGGGGAGGCGGGAGGAGGCGGCGGAGTGCGCGCTGGCGGCGAAGGGAGCCGCGGGCGAGGACGCGGAGGGAGGAGGAGGAAGGCCAGGAGGGGATGAATCCTCGGCCTCCTCCTGCTCTCCCTCACTCTCCTCCCCCTCCGGCTGCTCCCGCTCCTCCCCTCCATCCCGCTTCCCTGTCGCACCCCGAGGACAGTCGAAAGGGCGGGCTGGGCGTTCCGCGTGAGACTCTCTCACCACTTCTGATCCTGAGGCTCAAGTTTGTAACCGTTTCGCGGATGGAGGGCGGGTCGTTTTCAACACGTGGTTTTCGGTTTAGCACCGTACACATTTGTTTCGAAAGTTTGCAAGAGTGTCATCCATGGAGGGCGGGCCGTTTTCAAAATGTGGTTCTTGCCTTGGCGCCGCCTACATTTGTTTTCAAAGCGTGTAAGAGTTTCACGGGTCGAGGGCGGGTCGTTTTCAACGATTGGTTCTCGCCTTGGCGCCGCGCGCATTCGTTTTTGGCAGTTTGTGAAAAATATTGATGGTTGGCGGCTCCTTTTCAGCATGTGGCTCTCGCCTTCACGTCGCGTACATTCGTTCTAAACCTTTGCACGAGCTTCACGGATGCAGGGCGGTTCCGTTTCAAACGTTTGCAACAGTTTCACGGATGCAGGGCGGTTCCGTTTCAATTGTAGTTCTCGCTTAAACGCCGCGCACATCCGTCTTCATATTTCTGATTAGCGCCCCAAAATTGTGTGATGGCACGATGTCGGAAGGTCAGGGCGCAGCAGACACGCGGATGGGCGGTGTTGAAGTTCCAGGAATGGTGTTTTGGCACGGTTGATGATCGTCAAGATGCAACGGTGATTGTGATTCGCGGCGTTGAAGTGCCAGGAATAGTTTTTTGGCACAGTTCTGAATTTTCAGACGGTTGTCTTCAACGGGGCATTTTCCTCCAAATGAGTTCTTGTCGGGGCTTATAGAGAGGGAGCTGGGAGGGCAAAGTTATTGCGATATCGTTGGTGAGTTTTGGGTTTGCACTGATCCTCTTCCTCCCCCTCCTCCTGCTCAACTCCTGACCAGAGGGCTGGAGGTAGCAGGTAGAGGAGAACGGCTGTGGGGGAAAGGCCAAGGGGACGCAAGAAGAGGCAGAGGCGAGACGCGGAGGAGAGCGTGGGCTGGCAGAGGAGAAGGTGCACGACGAAGAGGAGTCAGGAGGGACGAGTGTAGGGTGGGGGGGGGGGGGGCGGAGGGGGTCGGCCGCGAGAAGGGGAAAGGGGACTCGGTTCGTGGCGCTGAGGACCTACCCTTCGAGCTACACGCTCCCGGAGGACCCGGGGAGGGGGGGATGGCCATCGGCCGTGCCGACGTCGTCACTACGCCGTCGCCACGCCGTCACCGACAACGTTACCGACGTCGCTGTCGCCGTCGCCGCTGCGTCGTCGTCCCACCGCCGCCGTCGTCGCCCGACGCCGCGGCGGCCGCCGCAGCCGCTGTGGCCGCCACCGCCGCTGTGGCCGCCATTGCCGCCGTCCGCCAGCGGCCGCCCGACGCCGTTTTCTGGGCACGGCGCGTCCTCGCGCGGCCTGGCCGCCAGTCGGCCAGCTGGGCTGCGACTGCCCGCGCGGCCGCCGCGAGTGACCCCCTCCCCCTCCCTCGGGGGGCGGCCAGGAGGGGGGGGATGACCATAGGGGGGATCTCTCGTGGCGGGGGCCATGGCATACCTCCCCGGACCTCGCGGCCCCCCTCCTTCTTGGCCCAGTGCGTTCCGTGGTTTCCGCCTCGTCTGCGCACGGGCCCCGGGCCATGATCCGCGAAACTCCCGCCTCCTGGGAGGGGGGAGGAGGGAGAGCAGGGGGAGGAGGGGGGGGGGGGGGGAGGGGAGGCGGGGGGGAGAGGGGGAGGAGCTAGGGGGAGGAGGGGGAGAGGGAGGAGGGGGAGGAGGAGGAGGAGGAGGAGGAGGAGGAGGAGGAGGAGGAAAGGGAGGAGGAGGAAAGGGAGGAGGAGGAGGAGGAACGCCTCTCTCCTGGCCGCCCCCCGCCCCGCGCCAGGACTACTGCCCCGGCGGCCCAGACCGGGCGAGGCGGGGGCGGCGCCCTGCCCGGGGCCCGGGCCGCCCAGAGGCGGGGCCCGAGCAGGCTGGGGCCCGAGTCGACTAGACGTAAGAGTGACCTTTCGCCGGAGTGACCTTTGGTGCGGGCACAGATGGGTCCCCAGATGGCTGAAAACGTAGCAGGAGCAGCGGCTTGCGCGCCCAGGTTTGGTCCCCCCGCGGCCCCCAAAAAGCCGCGCACCGAAGGTCACTCTCACCCAGGGTCACTCTTGCGTGTAGCCGACCGAGGGCCTCGCCGCGCCTTCGACGCATCGGCGGCTCGGGTCGCTTCGGAGCCCGACGCCCAGGCCGCCAGCGCGTGGAAGAGCTCAGCACGGAGGCTTCTCGTCGTGTTCGGCGTCGGGGGGCCCTCGCCGACGACCCGGGACGAGAGGCCGGTCCCAGGAGAGGGGTCCAGAGCTCTGGGGCCCTGGCCTTGGAAGAGTCCGGGGCACCAGAGGTTTGGGCGTTCTCCATCGCGAAGTCGCCGATTCGGCGATGTAGCGTCATCCTGCTCGGGTCCCATCCAGGCGGCCTCCACCCGAGGGAGCGGGGGAGGGCGAGGGGAGCGGGGAAGCTAGGTGCGCTCAGGCCATGTGTGCTATCCTATCCCTCATCCGACACATCCCTTGCTATTGCGCTGATCTTTCCTCCGTCCGCCGGCGCGGGTCACAGCGTGAGTGGAACTCCAAAAAGGACTCCGTCGTATGATGCTCCGTCGGAAGGGGGAGCTTCGTTGCACTGGAGGAGGAGGTGGCGGATGAGCAGGCGGGGTAAGAGGAGGGCGTAGGGGAGGGAGCATCGGGCGGGGCCAGGACGAGGATAAATCCGTTCCAGAGCGTCCTGGAGCGCTCTGAGCAGACCGCGGCGCCCGAGGCATCCTCCAGTCAAGCAGTGGCGAAGCGTCCTGGCTCGCCTATAGCCCTACCAAACAATGTTCTAAGAACCTTTTGTGGTTTGCACGAAATGTTCTGAGAACATTTCTGGCGGATTCTGTCTTGTTTTAACACATCGGGTTTATGTTCTGAGACCATTTTTTGTTCTTAGAACATTTTTGGGTTCTACAAATATTTCGTGGTAGAACTATAGGAATGCCGGGACGGTCGGTCCCTGCTCAATCCAGAGCCAGATCTCCGAGATTCTCGATTTGTCCTCGCCCGGATGTTGCCTCCTCCGGGCTTCGCCGTGGAGCGGGGGAGTGCCGCAGAGCCCTGTGCGGGGCGCATCCCGTCCCAGGTCGGGGCGGCCCGACGGCCTGCCCGGGTCGGGCTCGAGGGGCAGGGCTGCAACTTGCTCGGGTCGGGGGCAGGTCATTTGACCGCCTGCTGAGGTCGAGGGGAGCAGTTTCAAGTCGGGCCTGTCCCTCTACAGGGGAATATTCAAACATAATAGAAAGATAGTCTGGGTCTGGGGACGATTTTTGATCATTTTTGACTATGTCGTAGCATTTTTTGGCTGTCTTTTGGTTTTTCATCCAAAACCCCCTTGTAAGAGGACATGCCCGATCCAAGAGCAGTTTTACGACCTGCCCCAGTCTGAGGGGGGGGGGTCGAGGAGAGGAGAAGGGGGGGATGGGGGAGAAGGCGTCGAGGGTTTTCAAAGGTCCGGGCGGCTCTCGGAGGTCTTGCTTGACTGATTATGGGATACCTTCGAATGTCCTCCTCTTCCTCCTCCTCCTGCTCCTCCTGATTCTCTTCTGACATACTAGAGTGCTATCGTGTTCTGAGAAGTAGTCAGACTATGGTCGCATTCGTCGTCCGAGTCCCTCGTGTGTGTTCGAGCACTCCCGGCCGCCCGCTCTGCCCTGGTCCCACTCTTGCGTGCTGGCCAATTCGCTTTACGGCCTCCCCGTCTGGCTTTTTCGCTGGTGCAGCCAACTCTGCCTCGCCGCCGTCGGATTTTGTTGTTTCGACAGTTCTCGGAAGGTTGATTGACGGCTCGCCAACATTCTCACATGGTTTTAAAGTTTTGAAGGCTGTCGGAGATATCCGAAGGCTGCCTTCAGGGGAGGAGAGGCAGGGGGAGTTCGAGGGCGAGGCTCTCGAATGTTTCTAAGGGATCGCTTCCGAGTGATGTATAGGGGGGCCCATGGTGGTCGAAAGGTGCCCGATGGTTTCCGACGGCAACGAGCACCGACTTTCAAGTGTGTTCGGACGGATTCGGAGGTCTCTTAGACGACTCCTGTGGTTTCCGCGCGTCGCCACAGGGGGGCAGGAGGACAGCAGCAGCAGAATGAGCAGGAGGATGACGAAGCACGTTGAGGAGGACCAGGGCGAAGACGAGGAATGATCGTGCGCACACGGGTTCAAGCCAACTTCTGGGCAACACGCGTCGATTGATCTACAAGTCTGCGGAGTAATCAGGTGCCCAGCGCAAGAGTGCGTCATCGCCGAGCGAAGCCGAGAAGCCGCGCGCAAGTCACCTGGTGAGTGTATACATTCCTTGTGTGACCCTGCGGCCAAACCTGCGCCTCGGTAAATAGGTGGACGTGCTGGCGACGTCACGTGTGTAGCTAGCAAGGGAGAGCATGTGCGTAAGGGTTGTGTGCCCAGAGGGGCAATACAAGATCCCCCACAAGTTGCGTATGCTGCAAAGTATTTAAGGCAACCTCACGCGGCCACATAATAATTGATTCAACAAGTCTTCGCGCACGAGTGCATGCTGGTAGTAGTCGGTCGACTGTACCGAGTCGCTGATTTGAAATGACATGTGGGCATCTTGCTCGCTGCGACGAGTGGTTGAATGCTCGCTGGCTTTCTCCGAGACCGCGTATGCCGCTTGAGTGTGTGTATGGTGATCTCGCGTGTCACTTACATCTGGGCGTGTTCAATGGATTGGCGTTCGCCTTACACTTTCACGTCGAGCTTGTCACACGGAATCCCGATCCTCGACCGTCACACTTGCTAGCTCTAGCATCCTGGCGATCTCCTACCCGGCTGACGGCATGCCCCGGTTCCAGAGGTTGAACCCACAGACGCACCCGATCGTGATGTGCGCGCGGGAGTTCGGTGAGGCCGACGGCTTCCTAAGGAGCCGCGGTGATTGTCGCGAAACGCCAGGAGGCGGGTCGTCGCCCTCGTCCCCGGCGACGTCGCCGCCGCCGCCGCCATCGTCGCCGTCATCGTCTTCGTCGCCGTCCTCGCCGTCCTCGCCGTCCTCGTCGTCCTCGTCCTCGTCCCCGTCTCCTCTCACAGGCAGGGCTCCGCGGATGCCTCGAGGGGGCCGCGCCGAGGCCCCCTGGGCCAGCCCGGGACGGCCTCGTGGCCCCCCGCGGCCACTGCGTCGGAAGGCATGGCCGCCCCCGCAGGCCTCCCGGTGTCGGCCTCGAACGTATCCCTATCCCTAGGATTGACACGCCAAAAGGCGATGACAATCTTAGGGATTCGCCCTCAAAACATAAGGGAATCCCTAAGATTGGCATCGTGGTGAGGAGGTGCCCAGCATAGGGATAGGGATATGTTCCAGGCTGGTAATCCCGGTATCGCCCCCCCCGCCCCCGCATCCCCACGCGAACGGAAAAATACAGCAATCGAACAACACTTAGGTCGGCGGCGATGGGCCCGGTTTAGCGCTTCGGGGCAATCCTGCGGCACTGCAACCAGGTTCGCACTGATTGTCGGTTGCGGTCGATGTGGCATCACAGGACGGCCCCATTCGACCACAGCCACAACCTCAGTGCTCATGTCGAGGTCGGTGGGTTCTGCCCCGAGGGGGTCTACCAAACAATTCACGTAGTTTTGGTTGTGGTTACTTGCTGTGCCCGGAAATACCATGGCTCCCTCGAGGTTCGCGCTTCGCGGTTCGGCTCCGATTCCTCCTCATCCTCCTCTTCTCCCCTGGGAGGCGGCGCGAGAGCGCGAAGTTACTCGCACCTCGCGCTTCGCGCAGCGCGAAGCGCGAAGTTGAGAGCCCTTGGAAATACCAGGGCGCACCACAGCGCAAGCAACGGCATGTTCGCTTCGTGCCGACTCGGCGGCGGTACGGCCGCGGGCGTTCGAGGTTGGATGCCGCCAGGTGGCCCAGAATCGGCCAAGGTGGGACGATCTGTTAATTCAGAAGCCGTTGATCGTTCAAGTCGAAGATCAACACATTACACACACTTTTGGGTTTTGGGGGCTCCGCGCCGATTCTTGCATCCGCGCTGGGCCCTGGAGCGCACCAGTGGTGGCGCCGGAGGCACCGCCAGGGGGGCCCAGCGCCGATCCACGAAATCCGCGCGGAGCCCCGAAAGCATATCTATACATATATTGATACATGTTTTTGACATTCCGCATGTCAGATCTACGAGGTACACGTATAAGAAGAAGAACCGAGTGGTATCACTGCGGCCTGATTTCGTCTGCCTTTTTAGCCAGTGCATCGGGCAGCGCGTTGCCCACGCGTTCAGCCCCGTTCCCCCTTTAGCGGTCGGAGTCGGAAGGCATGTGTGTCGTGCGTCAATGTTCGCGTCTTTCAACCGAGGATCGCTTCCCGTGCTTCGCATGCCGCACGGGGTCTTTTGGAAACTGGTCGACCCGCTTTGCGGGCGTTGCGCGCGGTGCAGTTGTCGTGGGAAAAGCACACCTGGATGTCGCACTTGCGCCCGGGGGCTGCCGCGCTTGGTTGTCTCTGCGTGCCGATCGCTGTCTGAGCGGGATCAGCTCCAGCGAGAAGTTCTTGTTGCCTCCCTCCTCCACGATCCTCTCTGCCTCTTCCTATCTGCGTCTTCTCTCCCCGGCCCCTCCTGCCCGAGCGGTGCGAAGCCCGAGCCTCCGGTGTCCATGCTCGACGCCTCTGGGCCTCTGGGGGGCCCTCGTGTCGCCGCGGCTGGAGGCCACGCGGAGCACCGCCGTGCCTGTTCTCCCGGAAGGGGGGGGGGCTCTGGGGTCCCTTTTGGCCGGTGGAGGCGCTGCTGTTCAGGCAAGCAGCTTTTAGCTTCGGCACGAGGGCTCTCACCATCCACCAAACCACCCCAACCCAACCCGAGGGCCCAAATTTTATTCTCGATTTCCAGTGTGGGGGGGGTCGGGGAACATTGAAAAAACACATGGGACCCGTACCCCCCCCAACCCCAAAGTCGGGTCAAATTCGGGTCTTCAGGTTGGGTTGGGGTGGTCTGGTAGGTAGTCAGACTCGCGCGCGGCATCTCGCAGAAGAGAAGCATGCCGACGTGGAGCGGCAGGCGGTACGCCGTCGCCTCGGCGTGCGGGCGGGCTCCTGGGCGCTCGGGGGAGGAGGCTTCGGGGCGCGTGGTGCCCTTGTCGGGTTGACCCAAGAGGGGGTCCAGCGACCAGGGGGTGGTGCAATAGATTTGGTGCAATAGATTTGTGGGGTTGCAATGCATGTGGGGCGTGGTGTAGATGTCGGGGCGCAAATGTATTGCTGGATCTTCGCGTGCAATACATTACTTGCAATACAATGCAGTACAATTCTGCAGCGCAACACGTTTGCAATACAATTGCCCCAAATCTATTGCACCACCCCCTTTCAGCTGGACCCCGTTTTGGGCAAAAAACCTTGGGGGGGGGTTCGAGGCGCTGAGGGGCCTTGCTGGTCCTCCCAGAGCTCTCTTGGGCGGTCTGGAGGGCTCTCGCGGCCCGTCCAACGGCGATTCTGGGCCGCTCTCACGGCGGCCCGGGGGCGCAGTGGAGTCATCCTGGGGCAGGTTTGCCCTTCGAAGGCGCGGGCCCGTGGTTTTTCGACGAGGGATTATTCTGGCTTCGGGAGCGCGGCTTCACTGCCTCTGAAGAAGAGCACGGCCGTCGGGAGGGGGGGGGCGCGTGCGGCCGTGAGAGCAATACAGAAGCAGCATCTGACAATTGCCAGCGTGCCAGCGCGCCAGTGCGGCGCAGGCACCGCGGCAGAGATATGGGGTGGACGCAATATGTATCGTTCGCGCGGCGGTAGCTCAGCTCTGGAGATCGCCAGCTTTTCGCTGAAAGATGGTCGAAACGCTGGGGGGGGTCGGCTGCCGCCTTCCCCGAGCCTGTGGGTTTGCAATTGTGCCGTGTTTTTGTTTGGGGGGGGGGAAGTGAGATCTGTCATTGGTATCTGTCAGAGATTTGGTGTGTTTAGCCGTATGTGTTTGTCCTCCGTCGAGGCCGAGCGATCCGCGCGGCGTCAAAAGCCCCAGCGGCAGGGCTGTCAAGGCATTGGCCTGCCGTGTGCCCGTAGCAGCAGATGGGGGGGGATGCAAGTCGGCCAGCACGGGGCGATCTGGCGATCGGGGAAGCCGCCTCCCGCTCGGGGCGGCGCGCTCCGCGCGGCGGCAGGCTCAGCGCTGGGGCCGCGCGCCCTTTTTCGGGGGTTCGATGGGGGCGGGGACAGCGCGGGGGGCCCCAGGATCGGCCAGCACGGAACGATTGGGGTAACCGAACGGCGCCCGGTCGTTCAAGATGGATCGGAGAGCCGCGTGGTGTTTAGAGGAGAAGGAGGAGGAGGAGGAGGAGGAGGAGGAGGAGGAGGAGGAGGGAGGAGGAGGAGGAGAGGAGGAGGAGGCGGAGGACGAGGACGAGGAGGACGAGGACGAGGAGGAGGAGGACGAGGACGAGGAGGAGGAGGAGGAGGAGGAGGAGGAGGAGGATGAGGAGGAGGAGGAGGAGGAGGAGGAGGAGGAGGAGGAGGAGGATGGAGCGATCCGCCCGGCGTCAGAGGCCCACGCGGGGGTCACCACCGCGCGGGCTTTTGCCGCGCGCCGCGGCGCCGCAGAGGAGGAGGGGGGAGCGCGGGGGCTCTCGGGTGGGGCCAGCACAGGGACAGCTCTCCCAGTTTGAAACATATCCCTATCCCTATGTGGGGTGGACCTCAAGACGCCGTTTTTCGGGGGTGGACAGAACCCCCACCCTGACACGTCGATTAGTGATTTGTCCGTTTTCGGTTCTCGAGAGGGCGTCGCGGCCATCATTTTCCAGACTTGTGCCTGCCAGGTTTGGGCCCGAGGTCGTTTTCACTAAACCACGTTTTACTAAAGGGGTTTTTGTCCATCCCCGAGTTTTGCTGGACCTAGACTCACCAGTTTGAAACATATCCCTATCCCTGTGTTTGGCATCACCTCACCTCGATGCCGATCTTAGGGATGCCCTCAGTGTCTGAGGGTCTGTCCCTAAGATTGTCCTTGCTTTTTGCTCGCCCATCTTAGGGATAGGGATACGTTCGAGGCTGGTTAACAGCTCTCAGAGCGTTCTGGAACGCTCTGGGAAGGCCGCGGCGCCCGACGCATCCTCCAGAAACCCTGATCTCAGAGATCCCGATGTATCCCCGTCCGATGTTGTACCTGTCCTGGTTTCATCTCAAGGGGCGGTGGGCCGCAGAGGGGCAGGCCAGGGCGAGGTCCGGGCGCGCTGGCGTTGCGGCGGACCGCGCCCTCAGCGCCCCGCAGCAAGGCACGCCAGGAGCGGGCTGTGCTCGCGATCCGCCCGAAGGTTCTTGCACCTCGACTTCTCTGCACCTAGAGGCTCCTCGAACCCAGACCCCTCGAGTCATGACCAAATCACGACGGACGGCCAAGCCCTTTGCCAGGCCCTGGGCCAGGCCCTGGGACCGTCCAAGGACGATGCGGGGTGGAAAGCCGGCCCCGGGGAGGGGTCGGGACCCCCCATGGACCGCCGCTGTGAACAGGACCAGGCCGTCGGGGGTCCGGCAGGTTCCGACCGGGAAGAAACCTTGCCGGGGGCGCGCCCCAGGTGGCCTCCGGAAGGGCCTCATGAGCCGTCATGCCTCGGGCGGCAAAGACCAGAGAGAGAGAGAGAGCCGGACGGGCGCGGCGCCGCGGAGCGAAGCACTGCACCGCGAGGCCTCGAGCCGCGCCCTGCCAGAGGCGGGGCGCCCCCGGGCCCGGGGGGGGGGCCTCTCGGCGCTCCCGCGGCCCGGGTGGCACCGGCGTTCCTGGGCCAGGGCTGGACCTCCAGACGCCGTTTTCCGGGGGTGGACAGAACCCCCACCCTGACACGTCGATTAGTGAATTGTCCGTTTTCGGTTCTCGAGAGGGCGTCGCGGCCATCATTTTCCAGACTTGTGCCTGCCAGGTTTGGGCCCGAGGTCGTTTTCACTAAACCACGTTTTACTAAAGGGGGTTCTGTCCATCCCCGAGTTTTGCTGGACCTAGACTCACCAGTTTGAAACATATCCCTATCCCTGTGTTTGGCATCACCTCACCTCGATGCCGATCTTAGGGATTCCCTCAGTTTCTGAGGGCATGTCCCCAAGATTGTCCTTGCTTTTTGCTCGCCCATCTGAGGGATAGGGATAAGTTCGATGCTGATTATAGACGCCGTTGTGCTGGACTTGGGCTGTGTGCCGTGTTTTTCGCTTCGGGGAGGGAGGTGCAGGAAAGCAGGCAGAGGGCAAAAACGAGCAACGAAACGGAACCAAACCGAAAA